AAAAACTTCCACTGATAGATAAAGAGTTCGAAAAAGGGTTCCTAGGGAATTTTTAGAACATTCTTTAGACGTGACATTAGGACTTCTCTGTGAAAATAACTAGGCTAAAACCTCGTGTATGAATTGGAAGAAGTGGAGTTAGAAGAAGCAGATGAGGAAGTTTGGAGAAGAATTAAAAATGAAGAAGGTTCTAGAAGAGTTCTACTTAGAAAATAGCAGATATAGAAAAATCTCGAGGGATGTTAAAGGTCATAGTTAAATAACCTAAGTCTGACAGAATTCTCTAAAAATAAAATTTTGAAATAGAAACAAACAAGAATTTACGACTTCACTGTGGAATTGAAATTCACGAAAGAAGTTAGATAATCTGAATTCTAGAAGATTCTACAACGCTTTTATTCTGGAACTAGAAGGCAAAATTTAGGCTTCAGTGTTAGATTATGCCTCAAGGAATAAGTTAGTTGATTTGAATTCAAGAAAATTCTAGAACATTGTCCAAGTTCTATAATTTTCCACTGGGAAAGGACGTTTGCTTTAGCGAGATGGCATGATGTGAATTTGGAAGAACCTAAAACTGGAAATTTCCATGAAATTATAGAGTTTTGTGGGTATTCTAGAACAATTCTATTCGAGAACGAACAGTGAAAAACTTCCACTGATAAATAAAGAGTTCGAAAAAGGGTTCCTAGGGAATTTTTAGAACATTCTATAGGCGTGACATCAGGATTTCTCTGAGAAAATATCTATACCAAAACCGCGTCTATGAATTGAAAGAAGTGGAGTTAGAAGAAGCAGATTAGAAAGTTTGGAGAAGAATTTAAAATGAAGAAGGTTCTAGAAGAGTTCTACTTAGAAAATAGCAGATATAGAAAAATCTCGAGGGATGTTAAAGGTCATAGTTAAATAACCTAAGTCTGACAGAATTCTCCAAAAATAATATTTTGAAATAGAAATAATCAAGAATTTACGAGTTCATTGTGGAATTGAGATTAACGAAAGAAGTTAGATAATGTGATTTCTAGAAGATTCTACAACGCTTTTATTCTGGAATTAGAAGGCAAAATTTACGCTTCAATCTTAGATTACACCTCAAGGAATAAGTTAGTTGATTTGAATTCAAGAAAATTCTAGAACATTGTCCAAGTTCTATAATTTTCCACTGGGAAAGGACGTTTGTTCTAGCGAGTTGGGACGATGTGAATATGGAAGAACCTAAAACTGAAAGTTTCCATGAAATTCTAGAGTTTTGTGGGTGTTCTAGAACAATTCTATTGGAGAACGAACAGTGAAAAACTTCCACTGATAGATAAAGAGTTCGAAAAAGGGTTCCCAGGGAATTTTTAGAACATTCTACAGGAGTGACATCAGGACTTCTCTGTGAAAATAACTAGGCTAAAACCTCGTGTATGAATTGGAAGAAGTGGAGTTAGAAGAAGCAGATGAGAAAGTTTGGAGAAGAATTAAAAATGAAGAAGGTTCTAGAAGAGTTCTACTTAGGAAATAGCAGACATAGAAAAATCTCGAGGGATGTTAAAGCTTATAGTTAAATAACCTAAGTCTGACAGAATTCTCCAAAAATAATATTTTGAAATAGAAACAAACAAGAATTTACGATTTCACTGTGGAATTGAGATTAACGAAAGAAGTTAGATAATGTGAATTCTAGAAGATTCTACAGCGCTTTTATTCTGGAATTAGAAGGCAAAATTTAGGCTTCAGTGTTAGATTATGCCTCAAGGAATAAGTTAATTGATTTGAATTCAAGGAAATTCTAGAACATCGTCCAAGTTCTATAATTTTCCACTGGGAAAGGACGTCTGTTCTAGCGGGATGGGATGATGTGAATTTGGAAGAACTAGAACTGGAAGTTTCCATGAAATTCTAGAGTTTTGTGGCTATTCTAGAACAATTCTATTCGAGAACGAACAGTGAAAAACTTCCACTGATAAATAAAGAGTTCGAAAAAGGGTTCCCAGGGAATTTTTAGAACATTCTATACCATACCTAAGTCTGAAAGAATTCTCCAAAAATAATATTTTGAAATAGAAACAAACAAGAATTTAAAATTTCAGTGTGGAATTGTGCTTAAAGTAGGAAGTCAGAATATTCTAGAAGATTCTACAACGCTTTTGTTCTGGAATTTGAAGGCAAAATTTAGGCCTTTAGCTGATTTGAATTGAAGAAATTCTAGAAGATCGTCAAAGCTCTATAATTTTCCACTGAGAAAAGACGTTGGAATGATGTGAACATGAAACAACGTAAAACTGGAAGTTTCCTTGAAAATCTAGAGCTCCGCGAATATTCTAGAACAATATAATTCGAGAAAAAACAGTGAATTTTTAGAAGATTCTATAGGCGTGACAGAGAGGTCCTGATCTCTGTGAAAACAACCACACCCAATAATTGAAAGAAATAGAGTTAGAAGAAACAGATTTTAAAGACTTAAGAAGAATTGAAAAAAGAAGAGGGAAATTCTACAAGAATTCTACTTAGAAATCAGAGGATATAGAAACCTCCCGAGTGATGTTGAAGACCTGTCTAAATATAAAGTAACATTAAATCTGAAAGAATTTAACAAAAATAAGATTTTGAAATAGAAACGGAGAAGAATTAGACTGACTACAGTACAAGATTGTGAATAAAGAAATGAGTTAAATAAAATGAGTTGAAGACAGACTGAAGGGACAAAAGGGAGAAGATTAGGCCTCAGTGCTAGATCATGTATCAAGAAAGAATATAGTTAATGCGAATTCAAGAAGATTCTAGAAGACAATGTAAACTTCAATACCGGAAGTTTTCATGAAATTCTACAACAATTCTATTCAAATACAAACAGCGATACGAAATTTTGGACTTAACTTTGAAACCATATGAACAAAGTTCTACAAGGTTTGTTTTTTCCAAAAAAAGAAGATTATCTGTAGAAAAGAGAAAAGATACATTTTGACTTTGTGCGAAAATGAGGTTGCAGAAAAAACTTTAGTGACGTGAATCCTCACAGATTCTAGAAGGTTTTTTGTTCCTACACTAAAAGAGAATTTCGAACTTAGTTGTAATTTAACAACTTTCTAGATTTATTCTCGAAAAAAAGCAATTACCAGTATATTCGTGGAGACTCTACAATTGGATAAATAATTCCATCGTCGTGAAACGGTTCAAGATGAGAAATTTCTAGAAGACAGGAACTGGAGCGACATTAGAAAACAATTTCATTTGAAACAAAAATCAGACTTCGTTACAAAATTGGAAACTCAAAAGGGTTATAGAACATACAGAAACAAAAGCTTTAGGACTAGAGCGAACTTAAAAAAAAGTTAACAAAAACAAGGATTGAAGTCAAAAAAAAGATAATTGACGCAGTTTCGTGAAAGTTCGTGAACATTCCAGTGGAAAAAACGGTAGTCTCATGATTTGGGATAATAACTATCACGAATCAGCTACCAAATATTTTAGAAACACGTTCTTTACACATAAAATTTTTTTCAAGTTTAATTAAATTCCTTCAGCGCTTTTTAACTTTTTATATTGAAAATGTTTATTTTATAAATAATAGCCAAATGCTACGTCGATCGGGCTTAGCAACCTTGAATGGGACCGGGCGCGAAACCACGCAGACTTGCCTCGATGCCGCATTTTTGCCAATTTTTCCCCAGTTGTCACTTAGTGACCATAAACGAATCCTGTTCCCCGTATTCGTGACAAGACAATATATAGGTGTCTAAGAAGAGAAAATTCAACATCTTCACTTGCAAGCTTTCTACCTTACAAATTTCTCAAAAACTGAATAAAAAATTAAAACTCGGTAAAAGCGTAAACTGCCAAACACCTAGAAAACCAGAACAGGGAGATTACTCATGACCACGATATTTATATGTTCTATATTCAAGAAAGTGATACCTGGAGGACAGGTTAGAGGTTCACCTTGTTACGTATAACAATAAAATCCAGGAAATAACAGCAAAATATGCAAATTATGTACGCAGAATAACAATTACTCTAAATTGATATTTTATTTTCCACTTGGCCGTTACACCCGATCGGTTCGGCTCAAAAACCAACAATAAAGCTATAAAAATGGTTTTTCTTTGATTCACAGTCGGAACTCCTTTCAAAGTTGACCTTAATAAAGAATTCTGACTAATAAATTTTAAAATTAGTAATGTCGGTGCTTAATTGGATAACTTTGTTATTAGGTCACCTACATGCGTTTTTCGGTTTCCTGTAGATAAAAAATCAAAAATTAATTAAGTAGTTGAGGTGAAACAGTGGTATAGTCTCGGAACTGACGACGTCGGTTTGCATAGTATTAAAATTGACGCAGTGGCTTTGGTTATAAAAGAAGATAAGGTGTCATAACACCGCAGAAGGATTTCTAGTTTTTTTGTTAAATTAATTAGATTCTGTATGAAAATATGTTATGCAAAATTTCGACGTTGCCCCACTTCACCATGTTTGAAAATAAGTGCAACTTATATAAGCACGTTGAAAATATACACCGAGTGGAGCAGTTTGGTTTATACCAGGCGTCCCAGTGTTACATAATATAATAATAATTAGTCAGAAAATATCGTTGACAGAAATCAAGAAGTGTAGATTTGTGGTACGGATTTTTCCACTTGAGCGAAAAAAGTTGAAACGCTCCATTTAAGGTAAAATCCAAAGTCAAAAGTAATTACAGTCAAAATCCGCTTCCGGTCACCGACGTTATTGTAATTATCCGTTTCCTTAAATCTCGTAATTGTTCATTTCGGTACTAAAATGCAGTACCATATTCCGCTATTGAGAAACCCTGTAGCATTACCCAACCGATCTTGTATTTATTACCACACCGTCATTATTCATTTCGTCTACACACTTCCCACAAACCCCGTAAAAATCAAATCCAAGTAAACGTACTACTTATAACTAGTACCACTTTACCATTTCGCGAATGTCACAAATCGTGGTCAGCGCCCGCTGTTACGAAACTAGCACTCAACAATCTACAACTACAAACTCACCATTTTTTCTAAATTAAAACCAAAATGTCACAAGTTCTTACACCGTCACTATATAAACCTCACCAAGTAGGGCACTTCACTGCCACTCATGTAAACATCAACCTCTTCTCCACAACGCGCTATAATTCGAAAACAACTCACCGCCTCAGCGTTAAACTGCCACTCTGAATTCAAACAGTGTATGAATTTCGCTCGATAAGGCCCCTACCAATAGCCCCCCATCTTTGTCTTGCCCCCCTCAGACCCTCGCTCCGTCTCACTCCACAACCAACATATAGCACACTCAATTCGAAAGTTATGAATCGGTGTCTTTGTTTGACACACTTTGAACGTAGTCTTGTCTCGCTCGCCGAAGGACTCGAAACCTTTCTTTTCCTAGTTTCGAGCTGGAGGAGAATTTTGTGGTACCGCAGAAAAAAGGGTCCAAAGCGCCGCTGGAACCGAGCGTCCAGCAAAAAGCGTACCGGATTTCCTTGCCAAAATTAGGAAAACGCAACCTCGGTACTCCAAATCGCCCCGTTTTCCTCAATTAGCGCTATCGGTACCACCAAATTTTAATTAGAGAAGGTTACGTTGCATCACTAACGACGGGTTTCCGGAGAGTCTTTCACGGTTTGATCGAAGTCATTCGTTGCGTGGAATCACAATTTCGCGGTACTTCGCTGGTACCATTTTCGCCGCCACTGGGTCACAAGCTAGTAAAAACGAATCGCTGGAAAGCGAAAATGCGAGAACTGGATTGAAAGATATTTGAGTGCTGGAGGCGACGGCATTAAGTTTGGCTGGATTTATAAGTGTTTAGCCGACGAGGTAGGTGGTAACAAGAATCGTTTAGGTATTTGGCAATTTTTAATAACTCGGGTTGTTGGAGGCTTGAAATTCGACGGGAATTCAATGGGTTAACGGACAGTGTTACGAAATGGACGTTTTGTTTGGGTGCATTTTAATTACGAGTAACGGTACATCTTGTTATATAATTTTAGGATTACATGGGTTGAAGGTGTTTTTGGTTGGTGGGTTGGATGTTTACTGATTTAGAAAAAAATGAAAAAGAAAGTTATGGAGATTTAGATCTAGGTTACGAATGTTAACGAGATGGTCGTGGTTTTGATGGCTGATAAAGAATCGAGACGGTTTGGATTCGTTTGAGAAGATATAAGGTTGGACGTGCAGTGTAAACAAAAATGATAATGACAGAATATAATTTAATTTTAGCTAGACATGCGATAATATCTTGTCGGTACTCTCAAAGAAGTACTTTTAGTGTCAATGATCTTCGTTTCTAATGATTCCTCTTTTTGCTATTGACTGTAAAGTTTTTATAAAAATTAGTGATGTAGCAAGATTTCAAAAATTATTCTACTACTAGGTACTAACAGTACTAAAAAGTTGTTCGACTGGTTGATTTCGATAGAACTTCTCCCTTCGCCGCTGAAATGTAGCCAAACAAATTCGGCTTCCTTAAACAATTATAAAAATTTATTGCGATTTTTCGAGTTTTTCAGTTTACATTTTTTCCAATTTTACAATTTTTCAATTTTCAGATTTGCAGTTTTTCGTTTCGGTTTTTTATTTTTTTATTTTTTCAATTATTCGATTTTTCATGTTTCGATTTTCTCAATTTTAATTTCTGTTTCTCGTTTCTTCAATTTTTCGATTTGCGATGTTTCAATTTTTCCTCTTTATTTTTGTTTCTGCAATTTTTGGATATGCACTTTTCCACTTTTTATTATTAAATTTTTCAGTTTTTCGACTTTTCAATTTATGGATGTTTCAGTTTTTAGATTTTGTCACTTCAGGAGTTTTCAATTTTTATTTTTTCAATTTTTCTGTTTTGCACTGCTCTGATTTTATGTTTCTTTTTTTCAACGTGAAATGTTTCAATTTTTGGATTTTTAAATTTTTATATTTACACGTATTACACTTTTTCAATGTTACGATTTTAGAATTTTTCCATTTTTCAATTATTGGATTTTAAAATTCGGTTATTTATTCGACTTTTCAATTTTTCGATTTTTCAAATTTTCGATTTGCAATTTTTCGTTTCGGTTTTTTGTTTGCTTTTTTTACAATGTTTTGATTTTTCATTTTTTTTCTTCAATTTTGCGATTCGAAATTCTTCGAGATTTCATTTTCAAATCATTCGTTTTTTCGATTTTCCAACTTTTGTATGTTTCAGTTTTTAGATTTTGTAATTTTTATACTTTTTTCGAGTGCAATTTCACGAGTTTTCAATTTTTAATTTTTCAATTTTTCGATTTGCATTTTTTCGTTTTGTTTTTTTGTTTTCTAAGTATATTTTTTAATTTTTTCGGTTTTTCTATGTAGTTTTCCTTTTTATTCAATGTGAGATTTTTCAATTTCTGGAGTTTTCAATTTTTCGGTTTCCAAATTTTTCGATATTTGAATTTTAGATCTTTTAATTTTTCGTTCTTTCAATTTTCAATTTTTTAGTTTCATATTTTAATTTTTCGATGTTTAAATTTTAGATTTTTTAATTTTCGTTTCTTCAGTTTCCCGATTTTTCAATTTTTCTATTCTTCAATTTTTGATTTGCAATTTTTTTAGTCTTCATTTTAAATATTTTTGAATTTTTCAATCGTCGAATCGAATAAATGAAAAAGTTTTAAAATCTTTCAGTGTTACGATTTTTCGATTTTACAATTTTGACAATTCCGTAATTTTTCGGTTTTACAATTTTTGGGTTTTCTAATTTTTCGATTCCATTCGTTTTTTCCTCTTTCCAATTTTTCGATTCCTTAATTTTTTCGATTTTTAAGTTTCTCGATTTTTAGTTTTGCAGTGTTTCAGTTTTCCGTTTCTTCAATTCTTCGATTTTCAATTTTTCGATTTTGTGATTTTTCAGTTTTTCAATTTTTTGCCATTTTTTTGTTTTTCAATTTTTCGATTTTCAACTTTTCGAATGAAAAAAATTGAAAAATATGCACAATTATAAACCTGAAAAATCAGAAATGAAAAAACGAAAAATTATAGAAAAAACCGAAAAATCTAGAACTTGAAAATTTGAAAAAACAAAAAATTAAAAAGTGAACTCGAAATATTGAAAGTTAAAAAAATCGGAAAATCGGATAACTGGAAATCCAAAAACTGCAAAATTAAAAATTTAAAAATGAGAAAATCGAGGAACTGAAAAATCAGAAATTGAAAATTTGAAAAATTGGAAAAAAATTATGGAATCTAAAAAATCATTGAAAAAATAAAGGGAATGAAAAAACGAAAAATTGTGATATAAAATCGAGAAAATGAAAATTAAAAAATCGTGAAAATGAAAAATCTGAAAATGAAAAGAAGATTGAACAAATCGAAAAATTGAGAAATTGAAAAAATTGAAGTTGAAGAAACGATGAAACCGAAACATTGAAAAATGGAAAAATTGAAGAATGAAAGAGAATGAAAAAATGAAAAATTGTCATCAAAAATTTGTAAAATGGAAGAAAAAGGAAAAACGAAAATTTGTGATATAAAAAAATTGGTAGAAGGTAAATAAACTCAGATTTTTCCAAAAATTTTCCGATTCTTATGTTTTTCTATTTTTATTTTTTCGATTTTTCAACTTTTAAATAAAAAAATTGCAAAACTTTGAAAAACCATAAATGAAAAATCGAAAAGTCCAACCAAGAACTTGAAAAATTAAAGAAATAAAAAATTTAGAGTTGAAATAATGAAAATTAAAGAAAACGGACAATCGGATAACTGGAAATCCAAAAATAAAAAATTGAAAAATCGAGGAATTGAAAAATCAAGGCTTGAAATTTTGAAAAATCGGAAAACAAAAGTTATAAAATCTAAAAAAAAAAATGAAATAAAGAAAGGAAATGAAGCAATTGGGATAGAAAATCGAGAATAAGAAATTTCAAAATCGGGAGAATTAAAAATAAAAATCAAGAAACTGAAAAATTGAGGAAACGGAAAATCGGAAATTGAGAAAGTGTAAAATTAAAAAATTCAAATAAAAAATTGAACAAACGAAAAATTAAAAATTGAAAAAACGAAAAATCATAACCCAAACATTGAAAAATGGAAAAATTGAAAAATGAACGAAAATGAAAAAACGAATAATTGTCATCAAAAAGGAAATACGAAAGTTAGTGATATCAAAAAACTTAAATAAATCCAGATTCTTCGAAAACTTTTTCAGAATTTCCCGTTTTTTTTTGTTCTTGTTTTTAATTTTTCGATTTTTCAAGTTTTAGATAAAAAATATGAAAAACCGCAAAATTGTAATATCGAAAAATCAAAAATGAGAAAACGAAGATGGAAACTTCAAAAATTGGAAATTAGGAACTCAAAATATTGGAAAAACGAGAAGCTTAAAAATCGGAAAAGTGCAAAACAAAAAAGCGAAATATGTATTGTAAAACTGAAATATTGAAATCCAAAAATTACAAATTAGAAAAATTGGAAAATTGGAAAATGTGATATAAAATAGAGAAGATGAAAATGAACAAATCGGGAAAATAAAAAATAAAAATCAACAAGTTGAAAATACGAAAAATTATGAAACCCAAACGTTGAAAACAAGAAAAATTAAAAAATGAAAGAAAATGAAAGATCGAAAAATTGTGATACCCAAATATTGGTCGAAGGTCCAGATTTTTAGAAAAAAATTTCAATTTTTTCTGATTTTTTAGTTTTTCGATTTTTAATTTTAAACTTTTCTAATAAAAAAATGGAAAATTCGCAAAATTGTAAAAATGAAAAAACGCAAATGAAAAATCTAAAAATTGGAAATCAAAAACTGAAGAAACGAAAAATTCAAAAATTGATAAATTCAAAAATAAAAAAAATGCAAAACGAAAAACGAAATATGTTATGTAAAATTGAAATATTGATAAGTTAAAAAATCTGAAAATCGTATAACTGGGAATCCAAAAATTGTAAAATTGAAAAATTTAAAAACTGGAAAATCGAGGAATCGAAAAATCAAAGATTGAAAATTTGAAAAGTTGAATGAATGAGAAATTATAAAATCGAATCCGAACAAACATTGAAAAAATCAAGAAAATGAAATACTAAACCTTGTGATATATAATAGAGAAAAAGGAAATTAAAAAATCGGTGAAATGAAAAAGAAAAATCAAAAATTTGAAAAATTGAGGAAACGAAAAATTGAAAAATCAAAAAGTTAAAAATTAAGAAACTGAAAAATAGAA